TCCCAGTCGGTCTCTTTCTTCCGCTATCGATATAGCTCATTCCGCTCGTGGTGGCTGGAAGGGGAAATAGATGATGGTATCGAGGCCTTGCCATATGGACGCTATGAGGAAAAATCGAAAAAGCACCGAGTCTCCGCAACAAGTGCCCGCCGACGAGACTCATGGTCAAGGAAACTGTGGAGGAATCGGGACTCTCGAGGTGTAGACATTACTCGACGAACTCCTCTGCAAAAGATCGCCACGTTTTGAACTGTAAGGAACCGGCCGAAAACAGTCCGAGACTGTCACATCATTTGCTCAGCATGCTGCTTGATCGGTCAATCTCCCGATCGATCGATCCACCGTCTTGGGGGCAGGCTCGAGTGAAAAGGTGGTCGGCTGCCCCGCTTTGGGTCAGATCTTTCGATCAGAACTTCGAAACTTAACGTGCTGTTGATGGCTCAGGCCAGGGCCGGACGGTAGGAGACGTTCGAGAAACGAAGAATAAAGTGCTTATTGGAAATCGCTCCCAGCAGTTTCCTACTATCGATGCGAAGGACTCGTCTCCTCGGCGTTGTGGCCTCTTCAGTCATCGGAACAGAGTCTACAGTAGCACGTCTATGTATGTAGAGTCGAGCCGCGCTGCCAGCTGCCGGATTGCTGCCGTATACCGCTATCATTGAAAATGGGAAAAGCGCGGAGCCATCGTAGGTTGAAGTGTCCTCAACAGGGCTCCGCCATTGAGGCATCGGAAGAGCGAGTCACGCCGAGTCGGCGATGCTGTATGATCATGGGATTGGGAAAAAGCGTCACGATTCTCTTTTTCGACGGGAGCGAACAAGCTCAGAGCTTCCCGCAGTCGGTGTACGAATTCGTCTCGAGAAGATTCGAACATTGAAGCCCCTAGCCTACCAGCCGCGTGGGACCGAGTGATAGGCTGTTTTCAACTCATAGTGTTCCCTTCTCGGAAACGGGATCCAGACCGGAATCTTCCGGAACATTTGGCCGAGGTGAAGATTCAGCTCGGCAACGCTGTTCGTCGTCGGCTCGTAGGAAGAGAATGAAGAGAGAGCGATCCTGGGTTGGAGCGGAAGGGAGACTGCGTGGAGTAGGCCGCCGACTGCTGGTCGGGTGGAAGGTATCGGAAGAGCACGAATCGCAATTACATCTGAGTGAGCGAGTATTCAGCGTAGCGTGTGCGGGACAAGCTTCCAGAGGAGCAAGAGAGACAAGACGGGGCGTGTATGTGAAACGTCATTGCCTCGAGTCGGGCTGGCTCTGAAGCTCCGGTCGAAGCTCTGGGGGTGGGCTCCCACCGCCGGAACAGACTCGGCCCACGTAGACGCAGTAGGAGAGGGCGGTGAGTTTGGGCGATTGTCTTCCTCGTTTTTACCTCGGATCCGAGCCGATGGCGGACCTCCTGCTCAGTGATAGTTTTTATATCAGGCCGCGCCAAGTCTACGTCTCATTCTCCTGGAGGCAAAGTGTCATTAGACGGAGCTGTATTACAAGCCACCTCAAAAATTAGGACTCAAGGGATTGAAACGTTTAAAAATACCCTTCCAGCGCTGAAAATTGAAGCTCCGAACGAAACCATTCTTCAGCGCCGCCTCGTCCCGGTTCGCTGCAAGTGACTCGCCTGGACCGCCTCTCGACGATGACCCGAGCTGATTCAGGATTAAATAAAGCGGTGGAACGATTTGCAAAGTCCCGAAGTCTATATTAATCCATGGAGGCGCGGTGTGCGTCCGCGAAGCCGTGCCGATGCCAACAGGGGATTCCTGATCTCGCTCCGAAGGTTGAAAGTGCATGGTCGAGGTCTTTGTTCGCTCGAGGCTTTTTTTGGAAATTCAGATCCTGCCTCAAGGTCTGAAATCGGCAGGTGACCCTTTCCCGGTAGTCCCTTTTCTCCCAAAAGGACTTGATCTCCAGAACCAAAACATATGCCGATATATTTTATGCAAAAGAATCCCGCTTCCCGAATACTCTACATTTTTCCGAGGAGCCGGTCGATTCCGCTCTCCTGAAAACCCTCCGTCTGCGCTCAATGAGCATTCTTTCTATCTGGACGGGGAGCTCCCCTGTGAGCCGTTCTCGGATCTCGGTCCTGATTTCTCTGCTCGGGCCCCGAATATTGGCAGGACCTCAGGGACATCCGTGAGCAACCGTTATTCGGAAACTGGACCGCGCATCTCTCGAAGCGCAGTGAGCGGGCCTACTGGACCTCCAGCCAAACTGAGGCGCAGCAGATGAAAAAATCACTTATTCAGGGCATCCAGACAGAGTTGGAGAGTTCAAACGAAATTCACGTTCCCCCGAATTCTCGAATCTCCACGGCAGAAAAAATGCTCCCGGATGTTCGAAATATAAGAGAATCTCCTAGATCCTAGAGATGGTGCTCTGGCATCTCTGGATGCCGAAATAAGAGCCGGATCAGGAGTCGTAGTCTTGAATCCGAATGGCGTCGGAGACAGACTCCACAAGTGTCTAAGACTATGTTCCCTCCCACTCCGGTGGAGTAGAGAAAAAAATATATAATAAATAATATAATATCCCGTGTTAAAAGGGGAATACAGTGCCGCAATATTTCTCCGATGAGAGTCGATACTCGGAGCCGAACTGTGCCTCAAAACTGGGTCGAAGTGACATTGAGGAGGAGAATTCCGGCACAGACTCCGAGTTAGCGCGTGAACGCCCTGTGACGGGACGGGGCGGAATCGACCGTCGCGTCGCCTCATTCTCCTAAATTCAGAATATAATCGGCATCATCCGCATACATGCGTCTTTCGACAGATACGTTGGCCGAGCATCTCGATGCTGTTTCAGAGCGTGGGTTTCTCGGCATACGAAGTTTCGGGTCCCAGAAGCGCTTCGCCGAGAAATTTTGTTGCGACTTTCCGTATTCGAGTGAGCGATTTTCGCCAAGGAGATCGACATTCTAATGATCTGATGCTAGTACAATCGTCTCAACCGGGGAAGGCCCATCCCACACCACTTGTCATGTGCAAGAGCGATGAATAGATTTCCCGTAGCTCGTCCTTTCCCCATTCTCCACGATCCGGGTGGGCAATCAGCGATTCTTCCTGGTGAGGTATCTCGGTCAGTGAACTCATTGC